ATTTGTTTGTGAACGCTGATGAGATAGTCGCTATTACATCCTTGTTCAAATGGCCGTCTCATGTAGGGTAGATGGTTAGACCATCAAGCCTAACCGGAGGAGAATACGTCTGTTGGAGTAAAATCCATTCAAGTAGGTTGAATGCCCCGACTGGCCGGGGTTCAAAGGATTTGAGCACTGTCGCTCGTCAGACGTGGACAATCCTAATCAAATAAATTACCGTGATGTGAAAATCGATGGAGCACATCTATCGAAGAAGCTGGGTTTTGACGAACACGGATTATTTTTTCCTTTTTTATTGTAGAAGGCTAGTCAAGCCGCCGGTGCCCACAACATAAGTCGTTGAAAGTAATCTGTGGCTATTGCAACTGTGGCGTTGATCGTAGCTAAGTAACGATTGGATGTCGATGAGGCACGATGTTCTCCATCGCTTTTCGAGACTGATACTGCAATTAACCTTGTCATGCATTTCATGTTCACATGGATTGATGACGACCTAATGTCTAAGGCTAAGACTCGTACACTTGTGGTAAATAAATTAGCCAAGAGTAGACCATCAACCTGTACACCTGGTCTATTGCCCGGTGGTGTAGCTCCAAATCAGTGCCGGTAAGAGTAATGACAATCTGAAGGACCGGAAAAGGTTTCGACTCAGTGACGCTTCATATGCAGATTTCTCAAGCCACTATTGTGATTGACGTCAATCAAGTTGGCATAGCTTGAGTTGCCAATGAACCCAGATGTTCATAAACCCAATATGGAGCTCAAGTGCTCCGAGTTGAATGGGTTGCCAATGGATCCAAATGTCCATTAGCCGATATATTCAATTGTGGCCCATTCCGCTCCGAGTTATTCATTTTCAAATTGACCACTGCTGATTGTGTTCGTGAATTCGGCATTTCTTTCAAAGTGTCAAAGCATCACAATTGTACTTAAAATGTTTCAGTCAACTTGGATAGTCGAAAATATGTGTGTTTGTGGATTGTCATGTGGGCGACATTACAGAGTGTTCGATTTGAAGTATCGAAATAGACAAAATCGATCGAAATAGAAGTATAGGAATAGAGAAATAGACATAAATGAAGGGAGCATATTTGTGAGGAAAACGAAGAGCACAAAGTTGGATACCAAAGGTTCCGTGATAATCCCCAGTGATAAGGAGTTAAATAGTGCGTCTAATTAAGCAGGAAAAGGGGAAGATCACAAAATGCAATAGGCAGATAAACGTATCATTTCCTGGAGTCAACCAATTACATGCTTACCACCAGGAATATTGTCCAAGACTCCTTCTAATAGGCAGATATTTCTGCTATCTCTTCTGAACGATCCATTAGTGGTTTTTATCTTCGCTTCTTTCACAATTCCATCCTTGCTCTTTCTTGTATAAGGCTCAAAGGCCACTCCTTCCTGGGTTTGTTTTCTTTTACCACTATTACCAAATGTCCCGCTTGAAAGTCTCTCTGTCTTATATACCACTTGGAGCTGATTTGAAGTAAGGGCAATTATTCCCTCGTCCACCGCTTCCAGAAGCCATTTGCGATATTCTGCACTTCACGCCATTTACGGTTATAACTGTCTAGTGTGCTTTTCACCTCGGAACTCGCATCGTACGCCATATAATGAGCAACATCTGTGACGTAAGTGCTTTTCAAGCTTGCGGATCGACTTGTGGCGGAACGAGCGGTCTATTATTTATTATCCGTTCAGCCTCTAACAGGGCCGTGAGTTACACTTTGTTCGTCACCTGTTTTGCACTAAAGAGTGCCGTCAGTCTTAATTAGCCCTTCCCAAACTCCCCCTCACTGACTGGCGCTAGGAGGGTTGAAGTGCTACTGTACAGCATCTTTTAGGAGATGATTATATATTTTATCCCGAGACCAAGATCGTAAACAAGCCCTCAGTTCATTGGTCGCTCCGACAATATTGGATCCATTATCACTGAATATGTGTTCTCGTTTGCCTCTGCGAGCTATGAACCGGTCCAGGGTCATGATGAATGATCCCGTAGAGTATGAGTGCGCTAACTCTAGAAGTACCGCTCTTATGGTCATGCAGGTGAAGATACATCCGTATCTTCTCTCCACGGACCGTCCCCGCTTGACAAAAAAATGGTCCAAAATAGTCTAAACCAACCGAGTGGAATGACGGAAATTGGCCGCTCGTTCTATATGCAGGCATCGGAGCCATTAGCTGACACCCTGGCCTACCAAGCTGCCTACGACAGTGAAGGCATTTGCTCAGAACTCTCTTTAGTAATGCACCACCTTTGATTATCTAGAACCGCCTCCTAATTTCATATAACACGTGCTCGGGCCCTGAATGACATGAATGACCTGAATGAAAGTGACGTATGAGAAGTTCGGTTACATGGTATCTTGGGGGCAGAATAGCTGGGTGTCTTGCGTCCTGTGGCAAGTGCTCGTATTGCAGTCTACCACCAACTGGAAGCATTTCATTTACTACAATTGGGCACAATTTACGTAGGGGGCTACCCCTGTGCACGTGCCCCTTACGGTCCATTAGCGAAACCTGAGCGTCTGAGAACGATTGTACTTGAACTAGAAGCACAACATTGTCGCATGCAAGCTGAATCTACTCTGACGTCAGCCTACCCACTCGTAGTGGCAAGGCACCTTTATTTCCAAGCATTATGCTGATAACTTGCATAAAGCGCCTCAACCAAGCTGTTGCTCGCAACAGCTTATACCAATGCGGACGATCAGAAGGTAAATTGACGCTTATCGCGACAGTTGTTTGGTTGATAGTCACTGTGCGCTTAAGCTCAAGCTGCCCTTCGATTTATTCAGTGGAGACCAATTTGGAAGGAGGAATCTCTTTTAAGCTTCTCAGAAATGGCGGCCCTCGCAGCCAAATTTTTCACTTTGGGTCGTCTGCCTTCAGACCGCGAGTGCCATGGTCTGCAGGATTCATTGTCTTCTTTACGTGATAACATTCTTGAGGTGTTGAGTTTTCATGTATTATAGCCAATTGGCTATAGATGTGCTATAACAAGCTGATCTGTTGTTTGTGCATTTAAGCACAATTGTTGAATCAGTCCAGTACAATATAGACCTCTTAAAAATATCCAACTCCCGGCTTATGGTATCACATAACTTAATCTCTATAACGGAATCCACCAGCTCTAGTCCAGGTATGGTAACTGCCTTAAGTGAAGCTATGCGGAATTCAGTCATTACCAGGCTACATTCAACATTACCATTTATGTTTTCTCTCTGGCTGCTGCCCCGTAAGCTGATTTAGACGCGTCACTGAATATGTGCAATTGAGCTGACTCACGGGCTCTTTGGTTTTCACTCCCCATACACCTCGGCACCTTTGATCCTTTTAAGTTGCTAACTTCACTGACTCAAGATTCCCAAGTGTTCCGGTTACTTTTACCTACTAGTTTATCCCATCCAAGGATTTTGCAATGAAGTGCTTGAACAATGCTCTGCCCGTCAGAAGTATTGAAGCAACGAGACCCAGAGCGTTATACAGAGAAGCACCATATAATAGCAATTCTCTTTTAGTAAATGGTTTTCGGATTGCTTCAAAACGGGAAGACAAAGGCATCGTCAATGATAATTCAATTCATGCCTAAAGTGCGCTCTTGGGCATCCAGATTCATATTTAGCTGTGGACAACTAACCGCCTTTTCGCTCTCTGGAATATTGATTATGGTATCACTGCAGTTGCTCAACCACTTGCATAGCTGGAAACCTCCCTTGATCCGCGAAAAGCATTACTTGTTCGGTATCGTAAAACAGTGGTCGACGTAAAAATAAATAATAAAATAAAGTAAATCGCACATCTCTTTCAATCATTGCCTATGTCTCTGAATGAGTCGACCGTACGGCGTAGGGCGTATTCCGCACCAAATGGGGACAAAATGGCATTAAATGGATGAACTAAACTAAACTAAACTATATTCCTTTGGTTGTTAATTGAGATCTCCATCAGGCCACCACCTCTGCAGGACAGTGAATGGTCCCATACGTGTCTGCTTAAATTTCCCGGCCCCCGGTCCTGTTGTTCCGGGTTTGCGTTGATTCTTAACTTTTACTAGCTGTCTCCGTACGAACGGTTGTCACTTTTGTAATCGGTGTTCTTTGTCGTACCTTACCTCGTTGCGCTGATGGGTTTGCCTGGTTCGATAAACCGTTTCTCTCTCCAGCTTGTTTCGCTCCTTCGGGGAAAGTTTTTCTCCAGATCTTCCGAGAAGCGCATCCAGAGAAGTTGTGGGTTCTCGGCCGTATATGATTTCATAGGGTAGTATCTCCGTTGTCGAATGAGATGTGGTTCTGTAGTTGAATGGGATTTCCGATAAGCCTTCCTCCCAATCACCGCGATAGTTATTGAGCAATTCCTTCATCGTTCTGTTAATCTGTTTAGTCATTCCGATGGCCTGCGGATGATAGGGGGACGTTCTGGTTCGTTTGATGTCCCAGCGTTCTAAGGTTTCCCGAAAACTCTTGGATTTGAAACACGTTCCACAGTCGGTAATGACATTTTTCCGGAATGCCGAATCGTGCAACCACATTGTCTATAAATATCCGAGCAACTGTTTATTCTGTTTGATCTGAGGTTGGTACCGCTTCCACCCAGCGAGGCAGGAGCTCGACCATCAATGTACTTGTTTCCACTTGGACTAATAGGTAGAGATCCGAACACACCCGGTCCCCAGGTTTGAAGTACTCTCTGTGTGTCTATTGGTTGCAGTGGCGGTCTTGATGGCGTCAAATATTTATTGTGTTGGCACTCGAGACAAGAACGAATGTATCCCGACGCAATGTTGGCCAGAATACACGATGTCTTGATGAATCGGGAACTCGTTGCCGTCCCACGTAAGCTACATCGTGTGCAAGCCTCAACGCCCTTTCGCAAAGGCCTACTAGGATGAATGGCAGCCGCCTAGCTAGAAGGCGAGCTGGCTGGAAAAGCGTTTATTGATCGAATTTAAAATCAACCAGTATACGCGTTCAATTATATGCATTCAATTCTTAACCGTGTGGCAGGATGATTCGTGCCTCTTTCTCTTGGTCAATCCCTGTTTTGGTCCGCACTTGACACGCACGTCGCCTCTTCTTCCGCGTGTCGTCCCGACTGGTTTGATCCGATTTTGGCGCTGGATACGTTGATCGACAGCTCCGACGTTGTGGCATTCGGTGAATATCTTTCTGGCTCGCTGCGAAGGGTCTCTCGGGCTGTAATTGTCCCTTCGTTCGTTTCGGGTGGTAGTCAACATTATCTCGCGAAGTTCTTCCAGCCGCTACGTCTGCGCGTATGTTTGGATGGGCCTCATTCTTGATTGTTTTGCTAGCCGGAGCTCTCTTTGTACCACCTTCCATCACAGTATGAACAGCGTATGCAGGTCTTCAAACTCCTTGTTATATAAATCCTCCAACATAATGATATTTTTACTCTCCCGGGTAACGGTAAGGATTTGTTTGCAAGCTGGTACGCTCAAGGACGGTCCCATAATCAACCATCCCAATGGAGTTTCGATTACAAAGAGCACTTTTGGTCCGCCGTATTGACCATTATTTACCCAATGAGCTCGGGGGACATCACAACCAATGATCAAATGAACCCTAGGATTAGTCAGATGCGCCATTTCTGTACCCTTTTAAGCGGGTTAGTCGAGCCTTTTTTTAACTGGCACCTGGACTCTTGGCATCAATAGATCGTCCATGGTGTATGCAGTGTTTACCTTAATGCCTTTCTGATCCCTAAGGGGCTAACTCTGAATGGTACCCTTTGACTAAGTATATGTCGTTCTCCAGGCACCGTGCGAACGTTCGTTCTTACTCCCGGGCCACAGCCCCAACAGTTCGGAAGCTTCCTTAATAACTATTGTGGTATCCAAACGGCTATCTAGCAAGGCACATACATTCAACGATTTGTCACGGTGCATTATTTTTACCGGGACTATTCCGAGGCAAGTAATATCATTGGGCGCAAAACAGGAATCCCCCACGATTGCTTGCATATTCACAGACACTTGATCCCCAGGCGACAAGTGGAGGCTATTGTGCTGGCCGGGGCAACCATCGACCGAGCATTTACCAGTTTCTTCACATGCCCGCGCCAGACGTTCGTATTGAATGCATTCATAAAAAAGCTTTGAGTTCTTCACAATTTCCCGTCTCTCCACCACAGCCGACCTGAGGAAACCTTCACATTCAGCAAGTTGGTGTGGTTTCAGACACGAAGGGCACTGAAAGTTCTGTATTGTGCTGATGTTTATCTGGTCGTAGTGACGTTCATACGCGTGTTACGCCGGAGATCCCAGGGCGAGTAGCGGCTGGTGAACGCCTTGTGTCTACTAGTATTCTAAAGGAGCTGTTCTGTATCCTTAAATCTGCTTCTATTATTTAAATAAAGTCGATAAACCAGTACTGTCCACCACTGGACACGATCCCATCCGCCACCTTGGCCCGCGTACGTGTAACTAATGACTCCAGCGAGGGTATGGAATCCAACTCGGATCCACCTCCCATTTCTGCTAGGACCATGTAGCAGCTTCGCAATTTATGCTAAGCCTGCTCAGCCCCTTGCTTGTCCTACTCAGTGCTGCTGACTTATCCAGAACGTCCTTTGCTATAGCCCTGACTGCTTTGTGTGGTCGATTGGATAAGTTATCGATTATCTCCCTTGGCCGTATGATACCTATCTTCCTCTGCCATTAAGGTGCACGGTTTTAATACCTCTCTAGCTTCTCTCTCGCAGTAGTGTAACAGATAAGCTAGTTTTCTACCTTATCCAAAAGATAGTCTGGCGAAAAAGCTGTTGAACTGCCGTTTGAATGGCCAATATTCTGTAGCGCTTCCATCCAACCACGGGAGTTTTAACCCATAAAGGCTGTCGTGACTAGATTTGGGCAGCTCTCTTACGCATTTACTAAACTTCACTTCAGGCATACTCTCTCGTAGACAGGTTCATACTCTTTCCTTGTAGCTTGTCTTGGAACACCGGGATGCTGCGTTCCCTGCATCGCTGTTGTACTCAACCTCTGCAAGTGCCAGCTAATTCTCGGCCTCGCAGAGTTGTTGTCGGAAGACGGCTTCCTTTACCTCGCATTCTAACCTGTGTCTATCCCTCAATAACCGTAGTTCTACTTGTCTTTTTCATTGCAGACCTGGTGCTGCGGTACACTCCTCCTAAGGATGGCGCTGTACACAAGGCCTTAACGATGGTGATTTCTTCACCTTCTTTTTCTCCTGAAGAGGATAGTCTGACAGAGACTGATTGACACGACAATAAATTCAGTCTGGGAACAACATATTGAAGACAAAGAAGAATGCAGAAGAGCTCACCAAACGTAATTTGACCAAGGTTTCAAACTGTAACGGCAATTTCAACAACGTTCATTACCAATATCAATGTTTCGACTTCGACTGATCAAATTTCCAGTACGTAGGAAAAGAGTTGAAAGACAGTTGAAATTTCGTTTCTATTATAGGCACACCAATACATATTTGCGACTTACGAAACCGTCGTAAGTCCCAATTACAGAACGACAAACAACTGAGAAAATCACGGAGCAAGACCGCAAAAATATCGAGCGGATAATGAGGATGCTTGTTAAAGCAACTGTTAAATGTTGAGTTCATAAAAGAGAAAGAAGAGATAAGAAAAGGAAGATAATGGAATTGGAAAAGTAATGTGTACAAAAGCTGTTGAAAATCATCAAACCCAGAGTACATGTCTACCCTACAGGCACACCAGAAAAGGATACTTCGGGAAAGAAACTTTTGAGCAGGCAACATGGTGCTGGCTGCGGATGAACGATTACGGAGAAGCAAATTGCATCTTGGTATCAGCGAAGAATGCCTCGCGGAAAAGGACAGTCTCGTACGTACGGTAAAAAACAAAACAGCAGCCGGAGAAACCCTGCGAGACATCCGCCAAAACCGCTTTCTGTAGGGAGAAAAGCCAGAACAGACCGAGAACTCGGGTTGCTGAGGAATTGCCGGGTTAATAAGGGATGCACCGTGAGTCATGAAAAACGGCTTTTCGCTAACCTCCTGAGCTGGCGGAGACCGAGAACAACGAGAGGCGCAGTAGAGTGGCACAACAACAGTAAGGGTAAGGTAGTCAGGGTAGGAATTGGTACTCCCTTGAATTTACCTTTCACCGTGTGACGCGAGAAAAGATATTATCGAGCGATGTATCGATCGGTTTGTGAATTTCATGAATTTCGTGAACTTTACGTTGCATTCACCTAACACAAAATGACTCATACATACATAAAAAGTTGACTTTTCACCTACTTTTTATATTCACACATCGATTCCACCACTTGACTTTGTCTGTTTTCCTAATCCAAAATCATCTTCTCCTGTTCAGATTTGTTGAATTACGCTCACAGTAACACTTTGCTCTTGTTTTCAAATTTTTTCGAGATCACTTTGAGGTTTGTACATATTTTATTTGCATATTTGATCGTTTATTAATGCAGTACCGTAGAAACATTTTAAATCATTCGTTTTGTTGACGTTTTCGGACCCGATTTCGTCTACGCTTTGCTTGTTGATCTATTTGGGAGGCACAATAACCCTTTTACCGGATATGGTTTCGAAGCGTACCCTAACAATACACTAGCGCGTTTTTCCAGGAAGGCATACCAACTGTATACGGAGCGCAAATCTCTGAATTTGATTTGTGATCACTGTATAGCACTAGCCGAGGAATACTTGCGCATTCTCAAGGGTCAATTAAGACCGTTAGATGGGGGAGAAATCACCGAGGCCTGCACAGCCTAAAGTGTCTGTTACCCTTTTAGAGAAAAGCCAAAAATACCTGAACTCAAGAAAGGCAAAAAGGTAGAGAAACTTCGGGGTGAAACGCCGAAAACAAAACTGGAAGAGACGACGGAGCTCAAAGCTTTAGGTTTAAGATTGGAGCGTCTAGAAAAGGAGCTGGCTTTGATGAAGCAGATGAGTCAGTCTATTCTAGGTCGGGCGAAGAACACACTGCTCCATAACTGCGTTGAGTCTACGATCAGAGATGGTAAATCTCGCCGTGAGATGAACCGAAGGCATGTGCAAGATGTTCTGTGCCTAGCTGGAATGCCCGCCTCAACGAGCCCCTTAAAGTGTCACAGGGTGGGACTGTGGAAGAGAGAGAAGGCACTCCACCCACGTCCCCTACTGGCAACGTTCGGAAGCATGCATACTAGAGATATGCTACTGACCAGGGCCGTAGTCGTAGAAACCGTCACTAAAGGGGCCATAGCAATTAACCCGGACAATGGTTCACTGGTCTGCATGAGTGGTGGCGTGGCCTCCTAACTGTTGATTTTGCTAAATGCGACCCAGTTTTGAATGTATTTTAGAAAAGTGATGTGAAACTTAGCTGAAGTTGAACAGATTTTGCTTTTGGGTGAGTTTGATTCATTTGTAACCAATTAATTTGTTGACTAAATATTGAAAATCGGTTTTCATACCTCGAGTGAACTGAATTCCATTTCGCCTGTTCGCCGAGCTTGGCAATCTGTTTGCAAACGTTTCATCACCAGCCGAGGTGACATCATCAGTGCTTGTGAAGTGGCAGTGTTCTGTCTGTACCCGTTCGTTTATATACGCGTTCTTCTCCACCGGCTATTTTCGTCCCTTG